GATTTAGAACTAGAGAGAATGATTAGGAAAATTAGAAAACAAAAAAAGGCTTCACAAACTTGTAAAATATATGGTGAATATTCAACAAAACAATTTAGATAACCAAACTCAATTAATGAACATCATAACGCGCATAGACCATTAAGGGATTATGTTAATACTATGACACATAAAATTCATTTAAGTATTCAAACTTCTGTCGTAGAAATCAACACATTTGAATTGAAACCTGCTATAATCAAAATGGTGCAAAACAACCAGTTTGGGGGGACCCATCTGAGGATCCAAATTTACACTCAACAAGTTTTCTAGAACTTTGTGATGCATTTTATTATAACAACGTGCCAAATGACACTGTTAGAACTAGAATTTTTTTCTTATCCTTGAGGGATAAAGCTAAAATGTGGTTGAACTCATTAGCACATAGATCAATTAAGACTTGGGGTGACTTAGCCCAAAAATTCCTAGCAAAGTATTTCCCTCCTTAAAAAACTGCTTAACTTAGGAATGATATTACTTCTTTTTGTCGGTATGAAGGTGACTCAATATAAGAAGCATGGGAGAGATTTAAGGAACTTCTTAAAAAGTGCTCACATCACGTTCTGCCCGATTGGTTAATTATTCAAACTTTTGACAATGGTTTAGTAGGATCCCTTAGATCTATTATTGATGTTGTCGCTGGTGGTTTACTCATGTTGAAGTCATTTGATGAGACTTGCTCATTCATTAATAAGATGGCTACAAAAAATTTCTAATAGCCTTCTGAAAGTAAATCCTAGAAAGGTAGCTAGTGTGCATGATATAAATCTGCTTTCAATTCTCACTTCTTAGGTAGTAGCAATATTAAAGAAGCTAAATTAATTTGGAATGAATCAACCTCAAATACCTCCACTAACTGAGGGAAATTCATTTGGACAAATGGTTGATTCTAACACTTCATCATTTGAGACCTTAAATACAATTAACAACAAACCTAACAACCCTTATTCCAACTTCTATAACTCAAGTTTGACGAACCATCCTAATTTTGACTGGAATACCAATTATGGCGGGGGAAACCATGAATGAGGAAATAACCAAGAAAATCATTTAGGAAATTGGAATAATCAGGGCAGTATCAATTATAGACCTTATTCACCAGGATTTAACTCTAGTCCTCAATTTAAGGAGAAGAAGTTTACTTTGGAGGAGGTTATGTTGCAAATGAGGAATCAACTGTATGTTCAAGGTGCAACAATAAGAAATATTGAGAACCAATTGGGGCAAATTGCTAACTCACTTAGCAATCGACCCCAAAAAGCTCTTCCTAGCAACACTGAAATAAACTTGTAGTTGTCGCACCATCACCGACACCGCCATTTCTCTGCGGTTGTGTAGGTTGTCTGTGTCATTGTTGTCGAGGAGTCGCCACTCTGTTGCCTATTACATTGTCCTATTATCTGAATAACGTCTTCTCTCATATCACATAGGTGATCTTAAAAAAAGTTCAGGAACTCGGAGAGGAAAGTAAGGGCAAATAATAATAGAAACAAATAAAAGAAAATGTGGGGGGAAAACTTTCTTACGATAGTCATCGTAGAGTGAACTCTAGATTATTTTTGCTTTGGAGATATTCATATGAGAGAAATCACATGAAAACTCCCTAACCAAAGATTTAGGTAAGATACCTATTATGGGGTTCTCAATTCTCCTACAAGAGCAAGCATTTATAGTTAATTATATCTTAGGCAGTTAAAACTGCTTAAGAAAACTTTCAATTAAGGTTAACATTTTGTTCTCGAAAAGTTCTAAGTGTAATGATCAAAGAAAGAAACATCAAAGTTTTGTCCTAACGGTAACAAATTCCTAAGGATTTGGTACTGTCCTAAAAGTTTTATTTTTTTTTGTCATGTCGTATTGTATGTTATTTGTTTTAAGTGTGTCATTTTTGTTGTTGTTCTATTTTGTTATTTCATCAAAAGTTTATCGTTTTGAGCTTTGAAGTTTCGTTCATGCAAAACAGAGTTAACACATCTTAATAACATGTAAAGTAAATCTAGATTGACGTTCACTTTTTTTTGTCTTGAGTGGCCCTGCAAAGCAAAGTTAGTGCAAAATGATTTTTTAATTTATTTATTTAATTTGTTGAATTTTTAATTTTTGGATGACCCAATCAAGATGTCTATGGCTCTGTATTCTCGGATACATCGGGTATACTGATTTGCTTAGTTTGAAAGGTGATTAAACCAAGACCGAAAGATTCTTGTTAGCAACCACAAATTGTGTTGTCCAAGAGATCTTTTTAAGTCAGGATAGGTTGAGTTAAAGTTGTGTTTGGTCATCTTTGTTATTTAAGTTTCATTTAAGTTTTAATGTTTTTTTTTTTTTTTGGATTTTAGGGATTGAAAATTTTAGGTTGTTTATGTTTTCTTGTTTGATTAATTATTATTATTATTATTTTTTTGTCTTTTCATTTCTGTCATTTGGTAGGGTTTGTGGTCTGAAGATAGTTTATTAGCAACCAGAGGTTACCTTCTAAAACCTTCTTTTCAAACTTAGTTGCATTCTTTTTGTTAAAGTTTCAATTTTAATGAGTTTTAAAGTGGATTTTATGCCTTTTAAGTTGTTTGGTATTTTAGCCCAAATTTTCCCTGACAGAAGCTAAGTGTGTTTTTACTCTCATATGAGAAGTCAAAACCCCACTTATCCTACAATTGTCTAAGTTCATGTTTAGATTAGTTCATATTGAGTAGAACTAGTCTAGAATGAGATTTCAAATAGTTTCAATTAACCTAGATTAGGTTAATTGTCCCTGAAATTGTCTTCAAACTTGTTAGACCGACCACAGATTAATAGGATTAACCTAGATTTAATTTGATTAAAATCAAACTAATTTTACTTTCTTTTATTTGAAATAAAATCAAGTTGGCTGACTTAAAATATACCAGGTTAAGCTGAACTATTTCAAGTTAAACCTCTGGCTCATAACCCAAATTTAACCCACTCAGAAATTAAATGAGCCTTAAAAATCTAACATGAACTTAAGCTTCATAAAACGTTTAATATATGCATAATAATTATTTGGTGGTGTAAAATTAAAGTTTATTTTTTGAGTTAAATTTGATCCGGAGGCTCAAATTCAGGTTAATTTGTCGAGTCAATCTCACTTTAATTAGTTTGACAAGTCAACCAAAAAAAAGTCCAAAAGAAAACACGTTCAAATTTTAAACCAAAACCTGCCCTAAAATTAAGTGGAGATCAGAATCCAAAATTTTGAAATCCAAGTTAGTGTGTATCGGCTCAATTTTTTACTCCCATATAAAGAATCCAATACCAATTGTAATGTTCCGCAGTTTAAAAACTTGCAAAATACTCTGTCAAAGCAATCATCATATCGTGAGTCCCATCTCCCAAAGGATCCCCCCTATTGTTTTACCTTCAGCCTTGCCAAGTAATAGAAAACCAAGATTTTGAAAAACTAATTTGCGAGAGGCAGCTCCTCCCCACCATTTAGATTTGGAGAGATTATTACATCCGCCCGGACGCCGCGACAGCGTGATACAGCGGAGGTCAGCATCTGAGCGACGACCGTGATACATCGGAGGTCAGTGTCTGAGCGACGGCCATGATACAGTGGAGGTAGGTGTCCGGGTGATTTATCACGTAATTTTTCTTAGATTTGACCCACCGATCCAAGAATATGGTTATTGTACAACAATAAAAATAAGCTTAAATCTTAGTACAGAACATGAAGTTTAACATATAAATGAAGCATTTGAGGAAAGAGCCAACATGCGACCATTATAATAATCAATCAAGGCTCAATTAGTCTCTCGATATAGAAAAAAAGAAAAAAAAAAGAAGCATCCATCCTTCAAGTTTAAACAATCGTATCGCAATTATAAAGTGCCGTATTATTCGTGTTAGCCATCTATTTTAGCAGTATTAAAAACATATATATTTTTTATCAATCATTTCTAACGACTATTTTTTTAGTCCCACGATGTCTTCATCGATTCCTATAAACCTTTCATTAACAAAAAGTTAAAAAATACAAATGCATTTGCATACATACCGCCCAATTCCTATGTAAGAATATGTTATGTATGAGATTCAAAGCACTCGTCCTAAAGGAAAACTCAAAATCTACGCTACTAAGAATATGCTAGTGCTACTAATGTAGTCCTGCATACTATCATCCATCAATAAAAAGCCCAAGGCAAAATCTCCAAGCAGAAGTAACAAACAATAAAAGGCAATTATAACAAAGAGCTGAAGAACCACCAAAATTATATGGCTATGCAAAAACCAGAGAAAAATCAAAGAAAATTTTTAAAACATTTCGTCAAGGCATGAGAGAGTACTAAAACTATAGCTTGAAAAAGAAAAAAAAAAAAATTGTTGCAGACATTGTTGCAGACTAAACAAGAACACAAGAACAGAAAAGGAAAAAAGCCATTTCACCTTTCTAATTGGGAGTAAAAAAACCCACTCAATGTAAATGTCATTCAAGATCTTGGTTTTCAACTCAAATTCTAATTCATCTCTGTTCAATAGAACTCCAGATAAAAGCATCAATAAACAACAGGTATTATTTAGTCTTAACAAAATAATTTGACCTGAAATACCCGAAAGAAACGCCCATCATTTTCCAGTCTGATACAATAGAGTAGAGAATATGAATATTACAAAGAATTACAAACATACCACTCAATTCTTATGCATTTACATATCCATCACCTAAATTTCAATTTTTAAATACACAACAACTTACCTGTGCATGAACATGTGTATTTCACTTTCTAAAAGTCAAATCGAGATATTTTTTATGTGCTAGGAAAGATTTGACTGGTATAAATGTAAAAAGCAAAATTTAAGTGTTAGATATGTAAATACATAAGAAACGAGTGGCGAGCAAGTAAATGCCCCTATATATTAAATTACAACGAGAAGCCAACACCAGCAAAAGATGCGAAAATTGACATTTCTGAATTACACTGTAATTGCATGAACATTTAGACTAACAAAAACATTCATCAGTGCTGAGAATGACAAGGAAATCCATTTCAGGGAAGCTGTTGACATTAGCTACATTAAGTGCTTCATGACAAATGAAGCTTGATATAAAGATTCTAATAAAATTATATTTAACCGATGCATTAATACAAATCAACTAAATATCTGATCATGATGCAGGTACTAGAAAAATGTTCCAGCTATCATAGCTTAGTATCCATCATGACAAGTAACCAAATTTAGCTAGTAAAATCTAACATTTTGATGTACCTCACCCAAGTGAAATTAATTATTTGTTCATGAGATACAGAATAGTTTTCTGACACGTATGCTCGCTTTCCAGATCAATTAATTACGATTTACCAAATATCAGGAACAATGGTCTTCTCTCTGATTCGTTCAGCACCTACATAACACGTAAAATAAATACTGAATGCATTAAAATAGAAGCGTGAAAAGGTGAAAGGTTGAAGCAAGTTGAATAGGGTGTTACACCAGCACAAGAGCAGGAAACTGAATGCTTTTTAATCCGGCTGTTTTCAGATAAAAAGAGAATAATAGGGAAAACTTTTCGCAACAGCAATCCCTTGACATGATAATTCTTTGGGTCATTTGCATACATACCCAATTCCTTTGTATTTGCTTGTCTAACACTAAACTTTACTTTTTTACATTAATACCAAGTATTTCAAGTTGCATTTAAAATACCACCATTTTAACGCCTAAAAAGTGAAATACATATTTTCATGCATAGGTAAGGAAGCATGTATGTCAAAATTGAAGTTAGAGCTTTAGATATGTAAATACATAGAAATTGAGTGGTAAATATGTGGATCTTCATACTTTCAAGAAAATGGGGAAAGTTTCGGTCTCATGTGGCAAATTGCAATTGGGGAAGCCAATCTTAGATGTGTATTAAAACTGATTCAAACAAAGCTGCAGAATATTCACGACAACCTTTATGGATCCAAATATTCAGTCCAATAACCACGTGAAGCATTAAGCTCATCCTGAAGTAGAAAAATATCTCGGATAAAAAACTTTAGAATAATTGATGAATCTTTGAAAATTTTTAAAGGAATAAAAGAGGGCTAAAAGTTAAGGATTGCTCAAGTTGAGCAGCTCTTGAAAGCTGTTAAAGAACCAGCCAATATAATGCAAAATGCATCTAATGAAATTGGTTAATTTGTTAAAGAAATCCACTTAGTCGAGGTTGAAGTCCTTAATAAAAAAATAAATAATGGCCTCAGTTCGAAAATAGTCAAGTGTTAATATAAAAAGCAAGGGCTTAAATAGCCTTATTGATGTTGAAGTGTGAAGCATTCTTTCATTTATTTGACCCACTCATGATTGCCACATCACAAAGCTTTAAATTTGAATTTAAATTTATTTAAAGTTAACCAACATAGTGGGATTAAGGCACTAAATGGAACGCAATGGAGAAAAAGGATTCATGTAGCCGACCCCACGTAGTGGGATTAAGGCTTGTTGTTGTTGTTGTTGTAACTAACATACATTACCTTTAAAGAATTTCACTAGCCTTCCAAATATAAAAGACATGAAAAAAAAAATTAAAAAGTCTTAACTATTGTATACTTGTCTATCACATCATGTGATCTTTACAAAATAACACTTTAACTTCAATTCTATTATTTTTATGTCTCACACAAAGTAGGGATACCTACTAACGTCGTTTCCAAAAAGGAAGAGAAATATGCCTGTTATAAGCATCCGTTTTTATTGTTCCAATGGGCGGAAAAATCCTGCCATAAGTACCCATTCTCATTGTTCCAACCATAGGTACGCATTTTTATTGTTCCAACAGGACCGAAAAAACTTGTATTAAATACATGTTCTCATTCTTCCAATGAGATAGAAAAATCTTTCATTAATATTACAAAGGCGCTTGAAGACCTGTGTGAGTTTTTAGATAGGTGGGTTAGAAGATATATATGACCCTAGTGTTGTAAATCATCACCCATGCACTTCTTTTAAAAGGATAAACGGACCAAGCACTCTAGAAATAGATCTCAAAAGGGGATGATACCTGAAGACTGCTCAAATTCAAAATGACGTCACTCAAATAAATTGGTTAAAATGAATAATAAAAATACTAATAATATGATAAAAATTATAAATAGAAATATATGTTCTTGTTATTCTAATAAGCCAAAGAAATATGTAATACTTTTACATAAGTATGTGAAGATTCAAGTGTGTTTTTAAACGATTGTGTTATGAGATTTACGATTTAAACGATTGTGTTACGAGATTTACGATCTTATTATTGCAAAACACAACCCTTGCACGTCTATAAGCGAGCGGGGCCCAACACTCTTGAAGTAACTCTCTAACAAAAAAGACAGTGGACGCTGTGGAATTTTTAACTGTCACGAAAATTATAAACTTAACCGAAATTGAACTAAAACAACACTTAAAATGATTTAAACACAACCAAAACTAGGCTTAAATGAGATTTATAAAAGCTTGAATAAACATAGAATCAATTAAATAAAAAAGCAAAAAGAAAAAATTTAAAAAATAAAAAGCGACTTAAAATGAACTTATTTAACAAACACGGACAGCCACTCTCAGAATACAACTGAACAATCTGACACTTAAAAACCCAAAACACACTACTAAAGATTAAACTCAAAACTGAATGGAATGGACTAAAACTGGTCTTCTATTTATAATAAAAAAAGGATTTTGCATGGGGCTTACTTAAATACAAGTCATATAGAGATTAATTTCACCACTCAAGCAAAGCTAAAACTGGAAACAACATCTAGCTATGAAATATGAATTTGCATCTACTTAAAAAAAAATTATTTCCAATTTGCACCTAAAATACCACAGGATCATAAACACAAAAACTAGCAGACATAAAGCAACGTTAAAAGATTAAAATTAATATTTGCACGTATTTCAATGATAACAAATACATGCAAATGATAATAAAATCCCTTGAAGTCAGTCTGCCTGGTCTAACTACCTACATGTGCTCCGTCGCCCATTATAAATAAATAAACTAGGTGTCAAACTATGTTGCATGGGCCTAAATTTAATTATCCGCATGTGCTCCAACAATCATTATACGCTCGTTCCTAAGCTTATGCATCTAATGTTGCAATGATTTAAAATATGTTTAAGTCAAAATTAAAATTGCATTGCATTTCAAAAAAAAAAAAAAAAATCAATTGTCAATTTGAAAACTATTAGTTCTGTATACTTTTGAGCTAGCTGCCTTGTCTATAAGGTGAGGTTCTAAGTCTCAATTCTAGCCAATTTGATTATCCACCTAATCAGGACCTAAGTTGGAAAAATTGAGCTCCCGCCAGTCAGATCCTTCTACCGAGAACTGTAGTCAACATCATAAGAAAAATAAAGATATTGGACGTGTTGGGGATGTTGAATGACATGATCATCCATTCAAATAGCTCATCCCCTGTTTTGAATGACCAATTCCATTCATCTCTAGACTTCAATTGAATTTGATGGTACCAGCTACATAAATCAATTAAAAAATAAATAAATGTCATCTTGTGAAGTTGATCAACCGTCATCCAATCATAGCATTGAAAATTGGTCTTTTGAGGAAGATCTTGTTCAAAATCAGGCTATCAATCTGCATTCATCGAGTAACATCTTTCATTGGAAACATTAAATATTAAACAAGTATTAACACACCCTTTAAATCGTTCTTCATCCACTTTTTGCTACAACTCTTCATACTCAATCTGCATTCATGTACTCACCATCACATTTCTTCATGCACCTAAGATCACATTTAGTACATAAGTCGGTGTGAGATGATAAGTTGATAACCCCTAGAATGAAGGGTATCGCACGTTGTACATCCCATGTAGAAGTAAACCTTTAGGAATTTCTGTAAGCAATACATTACAGTACAATCGTAAAAGCACTCACTTAACACTTTTATCTTTATTATGATTTTCTCCAAGAATCAAGATATGTGTGACTTTTGTTCTTACATCTCTCTCTCATGAACATAAATTTGGGCACATCCATATTCTCCTTGGAACCTTTTTTCAGGTTCTTCATTTAGTAGCATAAATACCACCAAACAATAAATTTTAAAACAAATACATGAATTGATTCCTTCACTAAGCAAAATCCTAATTTTCCAAGAAAACATAAGAAAACAAGGCATATTAGCAAAAATGAACAAATAGAATAAAAACATCAAATATAAGAGATGTTTAGACATTTAATAATATTTGAACATAAATAATGAAAACATTAGGATTTATTTTCTCATTAAAGAAAAACTGCATCAAGCGTGGAACAGCCACTCTTAGAGGAGCATACAAGTTTAATTACGATGAGCCATGTAATGCAAAAGCACAAATATTAAAAAACCTTACCATGCAAATATGTCAAGAAAAAAACAGAAAAACATGCATGGGCATTGGTTAATTGTGGCAAAATGAAAAAATAACTGAAAGAAAAACTGTACACTACAATGGGTGAATGTAAAGTCAGAAAGCACGACTACGTAAGCAATTGCAAGATTAAACTGGTAATCATGAACTGCTCAATTCAAAAACAAAAGATTAAATATCCAAAATTATTATACAGAAGATCTCTCCATCATTGTCATTTTTACCAACAATAATTCAGGTCTGTAACCTACAATGCTACTTAACTACAATTTAAGGATCATTCATGGATAATTGACACAAAAGAAAAAATTAATCAGGCGATGCCTACTCTTTCATCTTCGACCATGAGCTCTTTGCACATCATATGAAGACCACGAGTTATGCCCAGGAACAGATGAAGCTCCATATTGAGCTCCAGGATCTGCACCTCCAGGAACCTAAGAAAAAAAGCAAAATTATTAAAATGTAATAAAAAATATATATTTTAGTCAAAATTTATTAGGTAAAGCAAACGTACAGGATTAACGCCATAACTAGAAGGGTAAGAGTTTCCACCATAACTGGGATCAGGATTCGCATAATTCCCTACATAGCCTGCAGCTGCACAAACCAAAATCATTTTCGAAATTGTTAAGTTAAAAAAAGGATGCTTATAAGTACTACTAAATGCAATTACTAAGATCTTATACACCTGCAGTGAGGAAAGTAATACAATCGATAACAAATTAGCAGGAAATTCCCAAAATAATGTTAAATTCATAAATGTAGATAACTCACATGTTTATTAAATTCAAATAGGTCAATGCGACACCTTGCAACATAAAATGTCACAAGAACATTCGGTTCCAATAACCTAGCCAAGTTATCTGAAAACATCACTCTCTTCCATTGCAAAAATGGTGGCCATAGGTTCAATTAATAGTTGCCTCGTTTATTTCAGCAGTTTTGAAAGTTCTTTGTCGTGTTAGGCCAAGAATTTTACCTTTGTGACCCTTATAGAAGATAACGAGTTGTCGGATCCTCTGTGCATAGTATTGACTTTATATTGCCATATTCCTTGACAGAAGATGATGAAATGCATTCAAATCCATCAGATAATTGGAAGCATTGCTACAGTGTCAGATAGTGGGAAACTGATCATAGCTCTGCTTCATCATCCTCATTTTTTTCCATTTGGCATGAATCAGTCCCAATGAATAAAGTGACGGGGATGAGGGGAATTTGGCAATTAGATCTAGTTAATCATAGCTCCCAGATGAGGTTTTGTATACTGTCATAGTTAATTACAATACCACAGACGTGGTTCATCAATGCACATTGGTGGCAAATATTAGTTGATCAATACATCAAGTCATTCAGTTTCCACAAATACTTCTCCATGCTTATAATGCAAGCACTACTTAATCTTTTGATCTTGTTGCACTACAAACAGTTGTTAACCACAACTGAACTACAAGGATTTGGATAGAATATGCTTTTCTCCGGCTGTTTTTATAGGTCGAGCATATACTCTGCCACTTCCTATAAAAGAATTAGTGTACTTTGGCGGGAAAAAAGATGGGCCAAAAAGCTCCTCAGTAAAATCATCTAGCTACATCATATACATACGACTAAGAGAGACTATCAGCCAAACGGATTGTGATACCAGTTGCCTCATTAAGTAGATACATTGGTTACAAGGATTTATTTGAGTGTCATTTTAAGGAATCCATGAATCAACCAATCTTCTGATATTTGGTCTTCATTCAACCGGTTGCAGAAAGTGAGCTGACTGAACTTCACAGCACAAATTGACTGTAATTAACTCGTTGGAAATCTTGGTATCATGCAGTACATGTCTAACTCACTCTTTAGTCAAGAATCTATGTTATTAATGTACTCGTGGTCATAATTATTTATATTTAATTTCATTATTAGTGATTTAAATGTCGATTATTATTCAAGAATTGTCTGAAATTTATTAAAACTGCGATACAGTTTTTTGTTTTTTTTTTGTTTTTTTTTTGAGAAATATCTATTTAAAGGTAAATGTTATTTTCAATTAAGTCTCAAATCTTGTCATGGAGTCAGTTGCAAATGTAATAAACAGAGACAATTATTGGCATCCTCTATGAGGATTATTTTCCCTTTGAAGTTTTCTCATGATCCCTTTCTCCTTATCTTCCCACCCCTTCTATTGAGACATTCATTCATCTAATCTTCTAAATCAACTTCTTATATTATTTATCTGAGTTTCTTGATTTCTCCGCAATCAAACTAAAATAAAGAAATCCACCACTCTATTTCCATTCCCTAGTCATGATCAATTTGATAACAAAAGAATTTTCATATCTAGAAAAATTGTTGTGACATATCTAGAAAAATTGTTGTGACTTGCCGCCTCAATATTCACACTGGAATTTCGCCCAAAGCAGAAGCAGACCCTTTCCTAACACCTAATTTTATTAACTAGAGCTTCATAGAACTCCCCAATAAGCTCCAAATTTGCAAATCCCTCATAAAGTTCGAAGACATAATGGAATGATCATGTCATGAAGCATAAGATCGCCCATCATTACAGCCTTAACCAACAAAAGCAAGACCTAGAATACCACCAGAGATTCATGAAGACCCAGAATGGGGTCTAACGCAGATATTGTATGCAACTATTGCGAATTGCTCTGCCTTGACCTCCAAAGAAAAAAAGCCTTTGATTTCAACAGCCTATATAACATGGATATTTATGAGTAACCTCCATCCATGTTAGACACGTGTCAGACATGGACACAACTCTTACCACTTATCTGATATGCCATAAACTACGCATGATTTTTTATCATAAATTTGGGCTCTAACAAGGAAAGCAAACGAGAAATGGCAGGGCATGATGGGACATAGATGAGCACGTGGGAAAAAATACTTTTTTAGTATTAATCATGTTTAGTTATTTTTATCTTTAGAAAATTTCTTTTATGATATTAAATTTCATCCCGTGATATCTTCACTAAGGAATAATAAAAATTAATATATTTCATATTAATAATTTATTAAATATGAATGTGTCCATGGCATATCATATCGTACTGTTTGCAAATTATATCATGCCATGATGCGACAAATTATGTTATGTTGTGGTGACAAATTATGCCATGTTGTGATGTATGGTTGCATCATATCCATGTCTCAATGCCCATGTTATGCCTTATATCAACCTTTTCAGAGACCTCTGTAAGCAACTTTTTATCAAGCACAACTTTCATCATCACAACCCCAACTCCAACATGCTCTTCTGAATCCCTCTTCTATTGCACTAGTTTTTCTTCTAACAACTCGAGCACGTTGCAACCATGCATATGACTCATCTGCACCCTATGCAACCTCTCTCACAATGCTTGCAACTAGGAAAAAAACACATGCAATGTCTCATCATTACAAATTGCATCCCACACCAATTACTCACACTTTCAACTACTCAACCGATAACCATGTTGCTAATCACGCAGTTTATATTAGCTCACTATACATTGCTTAATCAGCATCTGCAACACAAGACAAACTATGTATTATCAACTTTCTCAAAATGGCCGCATCAACAAACCCACCCACAATCTTACTGACAAATGCAAACTTAGGCCATGTTTGGTGCGGCTGATTAACAGCGGTGTGTTTTGAAACTGCCAAAACTGGCATTTGAAAAGTGCGGCGCGACAACTTTTTTTAAGCCATGCCCGTAAACACGGGTAGCGAGTATGACCCCGCGCGCCTGCTTCATAATGTTTGCCCTCCTTGCCCTCGCATCCCTGCCCTAACTCCTTCGCGTCTCTCATCCTATCTCCTACGCATCATTGCCTCTCTCGTGTGGCCTCTCTTGCCTCTCTGATGCCTTTCTCGTGCGGCTTCTCTCGCCTCTTTGCTTTGATGCCTCTCTCGAGTCTCCGCCCTAAGGTCGCTACCTCTCTCCCATCTTTGACGTAAGAAGTGATCGTCCCTCTCTCCCACGGTATCTTCTATCATTTTTCTTCGAAATTTGAGGTTGATTTGGAATGTATGGCTTCTTTGCAGAAATTGTGGCTTTACTCTACTGTGAAAATCTATATTTGAGTAGCACGAAAATGGGATTTTGGATTTTGGTATTCTTCGCCATTTTTTGTGTAGTGTAATCTTTGCTCTACTCGGTTTATGGTTTGCACTTTCATTCTTCATTCAGGGATATTTACATACTAGCATCCGAAGCATTTGTGATTTTTCTATGTTCAGTTGTTATTCTTTTTTTATGTGAATATTGGTTGGAATTTTATCAAGCATTTTGACATTTGAGGGAGACCCGATCTAGAGAGACAGACTTGGATTGAGATTTTATGATGAATTTTGTCGTGAGTTAAAGCTAGATTTGTCAATTGCAATGTTTGAGTGTTGTGTATGTTTTAAATATGTAGTGGTGACTTTATAGTGAATCCTGTCTTTGTTGTGAGAATTTGAAAAGAAAAAAATTGCAGAGATTTTGAAAAAAAAATTACGACAAGAATTTTGATAATTGAAAACGGATTGATATTTTATGGTCGTGGTGCTGTTAGTGGTGCTATTGGTGGTGGTGGTGTTTTTTTGGTGCCATGGTGATGGTGGTGGTTTTTTTTTGGTGAAATGACGGTGGTAGTGGTGGTTTGCTAGTGAAATGGTGGTGGTGGTGTTTATTGTGAAAAGGTGGTTGTAATTTTTTGGTGATGCGGTGGTGTTGTTGGTGGATTGTTGGCGGTGGTGGTGGTGGTGGTGGTGGTGTTGGTGGATTGTTGGTGACATGGTGGTGGTGGTGTGGCGGCGATGGTGGTGCCGGAGTTGGTTTTTTGGTGACCTGGTGGTGGTGGTGGTGGTGCCGGAGTTGGTTTTTTGGTGACCTGGCGGTGGTGGTGGAGGTGGGGGTGGTGGTGGGGGTGGTGATGGGTTTTTGGTGGTGGTGATGGTGGTGACGTTGGTGGGTTGGTGGTGGTGGTGTTTGTTGTCATTTTTTGGTGATATAATGATGGTGGTGTTTCTAGTTTGTTGATGGTGGTGGTGATTGTGATTTTGTGGTGATGTTTTTTTTTTTCAAATATTTTTTGGAGTTTTGGTATTTTAAATGGCACTTTATGTTTTCTCTAGCAAATATTTATGTTGCATGTTTCTTTTCATGCTAGTATCGTCAAGGTTAAGACAAAAGAAATCGGACCGTCTGCCATGTGGGATAAATATATCAATTTAATAATTTGTGATCTCTTTCTTAAAGAGTTGAAATTGGAAAATAGGCCAACAAACTATTTTAACAAGTAGAGCTGACAAAATATTATAGAATGCACATGACGGGAATAAGATAGGAGGGAATTGAAAAACAAGTGAGATCTATTAAAAAAAGACCATAAAATTTGGAAAGATTTGAAGCGAGGATCCACGGATTTGCGTCGGGATCAGATAAAAAGAGCAATTGATGCTTCAGAAGAATTGTGAGCCGAGAGATTGGATGTGAGAATTTATGTAACGTCCAATCCTTTTATCAATTTTTTTTTAATCAATTACATCAACTTATCAATCATCCATTACTTTGTAGATAGTGTCAAATGCAAAAAAATTTAAATTCAGTGACATTGACCCTGAGCTGGAAGAAAAGTTGAATTGTATGTTTGGTGAAGTCGTGGGCGGGCCCCAAGTAAGAGAGGTTCACTGGCATAACTGAGCATGTGAATACTGAGCAAATTACTGAGTCCAATGAAGGCCCCAACTCGAACCTCAATGAAGTTGAATATACTAGTCGATCAAAGCATCCTAGAGTTAAGAAAAAGAAAACAGATAGTGCAGTTTTTATTATAAGCCAAATTTCACAAATAACCCTAGCACATCAGAAGCAATTTCTATTCAGTAAGTCATGCAAATTCTAGAAGCAACTCCAAAAATTTATAAGGACGTGTCGTTGTACTTGTTTTCTATGAAGTTGTTTGGACTCAACCCGAAAAGAGTTTTTTTAAATCGATGACCCCTGACCGTTGGGTCAATTACTTATGTTATTTCTATGACAATTAGGACTCTTGATGCTTGTTGTTTTATTTTATTTTTTAGATGTTATGTTTGATAGTCATGGGGACAGTATTTGTGCTACATTCAATGCTATTTATATTTGGTTAGAGTTCTTTATCATTATTTGTTGTTTAATGCATGTTATAGCTAATCTAATGTTATTTATATGTAGTTAGAGTATTTCTATTATTCTTGTCTACTAAGGTTGTATTTAAGAGCCTGAGCTTTGAAGTTTTAAATCTTCAGAAAAAATGAGCTCGAGGACTTCCGCTACCTCCCGAGCATTGTACTGCTATTGTGGACTGCAGTGTTCTTTCCTTACTTCGCGACAACAACATAGTTATGGAAGGCAAATTTACAGGTGTCCAAAGAATAGAACAAAGAACTGTGACTTCTTCAGGTGGGTGAATCGGTTCGATGAGTCCACAGTTGATATTGATCAGCGATGGAGGGTTTCGTTGGAGGGATTATATCGTGATATTAATCGGCTACATTTTATAAACAGTATTATGATGATATTAATTGTTATTTTAATAGTTTTATTTTTAATTTTGATTATTGTGTTACTGTATAGTGAGATGCCATTTTTTTTGTTTTATAATATTCAAATTAAATATATGTTGTTATGTATGAAACGTGCAAGCATGATTGATTCTATTCTAAACAACACTATACAACAGAGGTAGAAATGTCATTTATTCATAAACAACTGCAGCAAAACTGCATTAAACAAATAGATACACAGCTTCCCCGCAGCAGCTTCCTAGCACAACTGCTGCGCAACAGCTCTGCAACTGCCCCAAACAAACCTTTGATAGAAAATATGCTCATACATGCAATCGAAAAATCATGTGCATTACTTGTTAAGCACTAGCATTACTCAGAAACACCAAGTCAACTACAAAATCACATTCAACTACATTGCATTCTCAACTTGCAACTTAAACCACACCAAATTACATCAGCAAATAGCAACCACTCATGCTCATACAATGCTTTATTTTCATTAGCCATTCATAGATTCACCACAGTTAAACATTTCTTGAGTTATTCAATCAATCTAGCAGCATGCATGAAGGCTTCCATGCTTCAAGAGAAATATTTCCAGAGTAATATTAATCTTCATGAGATATGATGAAAAAATACCTCCATTGATATTATTAATGATGGAGTTGTTTTGCCCATTCTTCTCTTCTTCCTTGGAATGGATGTTGGGGTGAATTTTCTATTCATCTCTCTTCTTCATGATGGTTTTCTCTAACTTTAGAATACAACTAAAAAACCTCTTAACTTTTCCTTTGGCAATACTTAAAATCTTTGCAATGAAATTCTTCTTCATGCAGATTAATATAAGTATACCTCAATCATTAGTAAATGTAGTTTGCAGTCATCCTTATTTATATTTAAGTTAATTATCAAAGGTTTAATGGCATTTATTAATCAAGATTAATTTGATATCTTTCCACCTATTTAGTAAGCCTTCTCCATTAACATCCCTTTCATAGATTAATTCTTCCCATAAGTTCTTTCTCCCAACCTAATACCACTGCTTCAAGGACTTAATTAGTTCAAACTTTTCAATTATTAGCTGCTCTTTACTTCCCCGATTCTCCCTACATTGAATTCTTCCCTTCTCTGCAAACAAAATATCCCCCCCAAAAAAAAAAAAATCCACCACTCTCCATTTTCACTCTTGTTTGTCAATTTATTATCAAAGCGATTCTAATTTCAAAGATGATTGTTATGACTCTTAGTATCAAAGCTAGAATGATATAAAGAAGAACTGTTGCAATCACTCATATTGATTTTCACTGTCACTTGTTGGTTATTTTTGGTACTTGAGTAAAAAATAGCGGCAGTGTCCAAATTAAAAGAAAAAAATTTTGATTCAAGAAAGGAATATAAAGATTATGAAAGATAAAAAATCTTCCCTCGACCACGGTCACTAATCGTACTAGTTTCACTTGAGCCTATATATATGCTTCTCAGATTTTAGATATCACCAGTCACTAAGCAATTGAAATGTGCCCTAATAAACTAGGAAACATCATTTCAGCAAGGAAGATAAGGTAGTTTAGGATTTACTTAAACCGGGTTCCCTTTGAAACCAATTTAGCAATAGGCCCTATAGCTTAAACCAACTTCAGGTTAACAACCAAAATGAAGTCTAGTTTTCATTTAATTCCGTTAGCATAAATCATGAACACAAAATAATGACATGCATATTGCCCAAAGCCACAAGTTTTGTTAATTTTGTGATGTGTAAACAACAAGTAAAGGAACTTGGCTGGACTGCAATAGATTTTGTATTTAATATATTTCAATTAAAAAATTAAAACCATAAACGTTTAAAATTTGACACGCAATGGACAGACAAACTTTGCTAGCAAGTTAAACAAACCACTTTTTTTTTTTTACTTGTAACCATCATGGTGAAAGTTGCTAAGGTGGCTGAATCCATGGGAAACAATAGCGTATAGACAGCCAAATGAAATATGCATAAGAATCACGAAATTACACATCCCCTCCAAGAATATAAACATACAAAACAACCATACAACATTCTGCATAATTATAGCTTTAAAATGCTGGATACCAGTAAAATTCACAATAAAACTAAAAAAACGAGCAAAAGCACAAAAAAGTTTGACAGAAAAATATTGATAGCAAAAATGGTATAAAAAGAAAATCAAAAAGCAATAAAACGAGAAGGCCAACGGACATAGAAATGCAACAAAAATTAAGGCTTGAAAGGTTTAATATAACATTGCTAAAAAAAAATAGTAAATACCTTGGCTTCCAGCAGCTGCTGCAGCTCGAGCCCTCTTCTCCGCATTAGCTACCTCTGCACGAAGCTTTTCTACCTCCCGAGCCATCAAAATTAAATTTCTCTCCATTACCTGACCTTGCTCATAATTCTCAGCATATCCTTTCTTCTCATACTCTATAGCAGCCCTATACATCAACACAAGCTTAAGCCTAACGTCCATATTAAATGTAATGTAATTTACAATAGATTATTTTTCCATATTCCAACAAAGAAATAGGTAAGGCACTTTCACACTTATCTTATGTCAAGCTTTAATGCTAACCTGATGGAATTAACAAATTCTGGTATTCTATAGAAATTATGGGGATCGAATAACAATACGACAATAGGTAATCTAAATGGCATTGCCCTTTCCATAACGACATTAAAACAACAAGAGTAACAGCTTAAATATACCTAGCATGCTGCAACTCCTGCTTCATGGCTTCAATTTCTGCCTTAATTGCAGGCGCTTGCTGCAATTTGGCTGAAGATCGAGACAAGTCCTGTGTCAGCATCTGAACTTGGGTGGAAAGATCATGCTTCGATGCATTAAGCTTTTGAATGTCCCCACGAACCTGTATGAGCTCTTCCTTAATGGCATCAGCAGCCAGAAGTTCTGCCTCCATCTTCATTGACCTTTCATGAACCTTTTAATTCACATAAATGCAGAAAGCTGGGCGTTAGTCACAACAGAAAGAAATAACATAAAACAAATTAAAACTTTCTTTAACTTGAATGTTAATAGGGCCATTGGTCTACACCTAGTTCCTTTTCATACTAGCTATCAAAATCAAACAAAATTAAATGTCAGGACAAGCAGAAAACCCATCTTTTTTAAGAACTCACAAGGAATGTAAATTTTAACACTCAGCATTCCACTTTTTATTCATTTATTGAAGTCTCGTTTTGTTTTTGAATATCTTTTCCTGCATTTCTTACATTTTAATTGATGGAGTTTATTACCGGTACTTCTTTTGCATTCTTTCATTTCAAGAAGTGAAAGCGATTCAGAATGGAGAGATACGAGAAACACTAGAAAAGCTAATAGATGAGAGCAGATAAAGACAAATAGAGAGAGAAAGAGAAACAATTCTTGTTCTTTTTTTTTCCTTTTATCAAGTTCAAAATCCAATTTTCATTAGGCTTCTGAAGCAGTTATTGCACAATACTCCTCATTAGAAAATTAATAATAGTTTCCTCCTCTCAGTCTTCC